AAGTACCGCGATAGCGTTTCGAGAGCAGCCGGCTGACTCAGCTGGCGCAGCTTTTTCAGAGCGACTGCAGGACCGCTGATGACGACACATCCATTTCACGATTGGCCAGATTCACCACATGACAACAATGACGTGTGTTTCTAACATCTTGTTTTAGATCAGTAAAAGCTTTTTTACTGTAGTCGCAATGTTATATTGAGTCACGTTTATCATAAAACACTGATGAAAGCATATATTCCCCCACTTTATTAGTATTTAAATAGTATATGATTATATTTAACTTTATTCTTGAACAGATGGCGCTGTATTAAGCAGTATATAAAAAGTGTTTCTGTTGACATTTCTGAAATTTCTGAAATGTCTGTGTATTTGACAAATATTGCATTTAATTCACTTCATTTGTGATAAAGACTGCGCGAGCCCCCGACTGCAAGCGGCTACTCTCATTGACCGCCGTCTGTAGCCGTGCTTCAAGTCGAACGCACCTAAGGTCTTGTCATGTGGTTCTTCATTCTGTTTGACCATGGGTTGGTTTGTGTCATGTGACCCTTCTTGTTTGGTACAAATAGCCCTCATGTTCCCATTGTTCTTGGTCGTGTATTGAAGTTGTAATCTGCTGTCAGTGAGTTAAGTCTGTTCATGCCTTTTCAAATCTAGTCAAGTCTTCGTTTATTGTTTGGATGTTTGAATCACTTTGAATAAAACTGCACATGGGTTCTCAGTACGCTCGCCTTCAGTGGACTCATTACAATAGTATTAAGTCTCAAATGTCAAATATACATCGGATTGGTTTCTTCTTTAAATTATAAAAAAAGTAAAAATATGAATGGTACTATGTTATACTAAAACTAAAACAATCGAAAACCCCTTAAGATAACATGTGTTTTTTTAACCTAAAACCGCATAAACATATTTAATTACACCAAATAATGTTCTTTTTAGCAACATCATATGATCCCTTTAAGGATTGCTATAAGCTAAAGTGTTAAAATTGTGTACATTTTTTCTCTATTTAACAGCATTAACTTACAATAGTGAAAGGGTCTTCCCTCATGTAGATTTCATGTTTTCTTGCCTTGCTGGATGTTGGGTTTATGATCAATAATACGGGACAAACTGCGTTCCGTATGGCTTTAATACGGAACGCTTCTTTGATGACTTAAATACGGGACGATTCCGTATTATACGAAACAGTTGGCAACCGTATGTGTACGGTTATCTGCTAATGGTTAATTTTGTCCACTGCCTAAACATTTTGGAGTCCTGTGGGATTTCCGCCGTCCTCCCAGCGGCCGTTATTTTGAACTACAGTCGAATGCGCGTTCACTGACTGCTAGCGGCAAGTATGTATTGCCTTGTTCAAATACCTACACTTGCAGTCTTGGCCACTTGAGAGCGCGTGCGTCCTACGTGCGCAAGGCTGTCCCAGGTCTTCAAAACGCCAAAGTGCAGTGCCCTTAACGCACATTAAATCCACACTATCTTGAATACCGCTCCGGAGCGCTATTCGAGGCTTAGTGCATCCCATCATGCATCATGTTTTGGAATAAATCGTAAGAGTAGGCTTGTTTGAGATGAGCAAAATCTGCGCAGAACCGATCACCGCGAGATGCATGCCGGTTAGAAAAGTGTCCGAGTTACGTCCGACTTGCTCTGATGTCATGCTGACCTGTGCCAAAAATCTCTCGCGACGGCGAGGCGGCTGTGTAGATGCTCTCCACCGACTGCGCTGATCAAAAGTATGATGGGAAACGACTGACTGACGACACAGCTTAATGCTCATTGGTTCAGACAACCGTGATGCTGCGTTCTCGTCTAAAATGTTAGATTTTTTTTGATCTGATTTCATGTGATTATGTATTTAAATTATGCATGAAT